TAGGCTTCATGAGAAATATATAAGCAGATTATTCCTCATTTAGGGCTTCCATGAAAATAGCTAGGGTTAACTAAAGTTAACCTAAAGACTTGGTCTAGGGCTTTTTCATAACAGATTAGGGTTAATCAAGGTTAACCTAATGTCCACATGAGCAGCTGATCTAGACAATACTTCTTCAACACAGAGCAGCATACCAGTTTCCTAAAAAATCTCAGGAATAATAAATTTGCACAACAACTTGGTCAGTACAGGATATCTTAACATTGGTTATGACATCATGTATCTTGCTCACTAATTTTGGTAGAATTCAATATATATATATATATGATCATAGCTTAATGATCATGATAATCACTCATACTGAGTAGTTCCTGTAGAACATTCTTTTCTGCAGAATGTACCTTTATCCCAGAATGTTATGACATCAGTCATGACATTCGCAAATCTGGTTTTACCAAAAAAATGCCAACAAACAAACACTTACAAGTCCAATGCAAGATGTATGCAATGTTATGATGTCATGATGTCATGATAGAAAGCACACCACAAGTATCCACAAATAGTAAACATGGTAAAGGCACACAAGTCACACAGAGAGCCCTTAGATTTCAGGCTGGCAAGGAGCTTAGGTACTACCCTCTTTCAGTTCAGTTGGTTCAAACCTGTCCTAAAAATAGTAATCGGGTTCTAGAGGATCTCAATATCACTGACTACCCTCGATCGGTCATAATTCCAGTTTAGCAACCTTTTCTTGCGGCCGGAATCATCGCGAGAGTTTAGTCTCAATGAGTGTAGCATACTGCTATTGTTCTATGGCCAAGTTGGTCAATTTAAATGTTCTAAGGTCAGTTGGTGCTTAATGGCCCCTTAGAAGACCCTTATTCTCCTCGTTCCAACACAAGGGATATCGATACAAACTAAAGTGCCACACCAATGTAGCTACTGCTTCAACCGTATCGGTCTATGCCATACAGTTCCCTCACAGTTTATTGCTACTTACCTAAAGGGTACCCCCCAGATCCGGGTTAGGATCTATAGTAACTCTGATTCAAGCCCACAAAGATAAATCATACAAATCAAGCAATTGAAAACAATATGAACTATTCCTAAGGTACACCCCACTTATTATCATCCCCAGCAGAGTCGCCAGTTCTGTGATACGGTGGGAAAGAACTGACTGTTATTTAGAGTGCTGGTTTGCGTTTTGCGTTTGTTTTCGCAAAATGTCGCGGTAAGCAAGAGTCACCACCGACTTTTATTTTATCCAACAAGGAAAGGAAAAAAGCACAGAAAAATTCCTTTTTCGAGATACTTCTCGGGTTCGGGGGGTAGATTATAGAAAGGGAAGGTGTTAGCACCCTTTTTATCCGTGGTTATCCACGGGCTCTTAGGTACTTGCTCAATGTTTTCAAAATCTGCTTTCTTTGTGATTGTGGGTTTGAAAAAGTTTTTTTGTTTGGAAACTTCGTTTGAAAAGTGTAAGTGTGAAGAGTTTTTGTTTTTTTGAAAGAGCAAGTACTTAAGAACCATCTACCTACTCGAAAAAGGAATCGTTCTATGCTATCTTCCTTTAGACAATGCTATCCCACTATTGATGAGTAGGTAGCACCGTCGTTGGAGTTTAAGAGTCAATTCGAATTAGGGACTTACGGTCACTAAAGCAATGTTAGGACGCCTTAGCGGTAACCCTAATGTCTTAGATCATTTGTTGAGGCAATTATATCCGAGACAACCGTTTCGAGGCGACTATGATCTTTGGACAAGAGGGAGACCTCTAAAATGACCTATACTTAATGACCGCGTACGAAGGCGACCAAGTGGGGTGTACCCTAGGAGTGTGCATGTGCGAGTGTGTCGTTTTTCAGTTAATTTTTATCTTTGTACATGTTAATGGTGATCTATGTTGATTTTAGGTAGAAACATTCAATCTTGTCATGCATACCTATTATGAAACATCTAACGGTTATATTTTGCGGAAAATAAATTGCGAAAATTAAATTACAAGGCGTCGGGTATTTACATCGCCAAAAGCAACCCTTTGAAATTTAAAATGCGGAAAAATAAATAAAGCGATGAAATATTTAAATGGTCCTAATTATCTATTACAAACCGGAGGCAAGTATAATATGATAAATAGATCGCGTGCGGAAAATTAAATCAAGTGCGAGTTTAGGGTTTTGACCCTTTTGTTATTTAAAGAAAAGATTTTTTTTGTTTGTTTTTGATTTAAGAAAGAAATTGATCTAAGTTAATTATTAAATTAAATTAATTAAACTAATTAATAAAAAAATAAATGTTTTTGGGTTTTTTTTGTTATTTAAAGAAAGAAATAAAAATTAATCAATGTTAATAAAAACCTAATTATGTCTAAGTTAATTTTAATTATTTAAAAAATATATTAAAGTTATTCCTAATTAATGGCATAAATTAATTAAATTGATATTTTTTAATAAAAATTAAAATACTGAAATTTAATTTAATAAAGAAAATATTTTTTGGTTTTTATTTTATAAAGAAAAAGATTTGATTGGTTAATTAATTTAAAAAATATTATAAAGCGATTAAAACAAAAAAAAATAAATTAAAGAAGGTTAGAGATGTATGGGCCTGAACAAAGGGGGTTTGAGAAGTAATCTGAGGCCCATCACAAGTTGGCCTCGTTTGACCTTTTGAGATCCCCTATGCGCATGTTGACTGGACTCCATGGTGGACCATCAACCTGGATCACCAGATCTGGCCTTTGGCCATCTGGCGTTTTGACTTGTGAAGGCATATGGTGAGTTGCAGGCATTGGTTTGTACCTGATTATCTTAAGAAAAAATATAACAAAGCACATGGGGGACCTGGGATTCGAACCCAGGTCCTGTTGGATGTTGCATTGCTTGCTTAGCCACTAGGCCAATGTGTCTCAATTGTTAATAATATACAAAAACAATATTATAAGACAAAACGCGTTAATATTCCAGCAAATAAAAAAAGTGCGCGAAAATTTGAAAGGACCAATCAGGGGAGGACACAATGTCATCCCTGTCCTCAGGCTTGTAAAGAAATTACCTGCGGATTTGAATCTGCAGCTAAATGCCTAGGTCCTTCCCAAAATTCATCTCAGACCATATAAACTCCTCCCAAGACCATGGTTGCGTTCATCTTTCTCTTCCGGTCATGTCCATGGCCATTATTGGGGCTAATTTTACCTGTAAGAGAAACGCCCAAAAACAAACCACGAAACCCTAGATATGGTACTTGGCTTTATAGGTCAGATAAATAAAATTAACTAATGCAAAAAGCTTTGAAATGTCATGAGGATCACGAATATATCAACGATATGCCCAGAGGATGCAAGAATGGAGAGTTAAGATTTCGAATACAGGACTGAAAAACGTGATGCTTACAGTGTATTTTGGTGTGTATGAGAGCTTGCTTTGGATTGCAGAAGGTTCAGTAGACCCCAACAATCGATTGGTATCAAACTTTTCTTCTGAAAATGCCTCAAAGTAGGATTTTGGTTTCACACTTTTTAGTGAATTTTGCAAGTTTTTCTTTGCTTATTTCTGCAGCCTCCAGCCTTGTTTTCGTGCCCTCTAGCCTCCTTATGTAATGTGGAATGCATTAGGTTAACAATTGTGCTTTGAATCTTTCCACATCAATGCCATGAGATTTGATTTGATTCACCATTACTAAACCTTCCAAAATTGCCGAAACTCAATCTTTTTGCACATGGAATGCTTGATACGAGTTTGATACCCATGATGATGATGATTCAGTCCTGAAATAGCCAAAAAGATATCAAGCAATCAATATTTGGATTTTATTTGATTTAATTTGATTAAAAATGAAATAATTCAATAAAAAATCAAATAAAATAATAAAATTGATAAATGGACACATGGCTGAAGCTAGGATACATGGACAATGATGCGAGCTCAAATCAAATGGAAAAGAATGGGCCCATTTGACAAAATTTGAAGTTTTAGGGATAGTTGACTTTTGGCAATTTTGCAAAAATACTCAACTTCAACAATGCATAACTTCTTCAATTTTGAAGTTTTGGAAGTGTTCTTGGACTTTTTAGAAAGCTTGAGATGTCCTATAACCAAAACTTTTGGTCTAATCTCATTTTGATATTCCATTATCAAGTTATAAGCTTTGGCAAAAAGGTGTTTTTGTTGACTTTCAAAAATGACCTATAATGTCCAAATTTATAACTTCTTGTGAGTGCATTTTCTGATCTTGGGGTATGAAGATGGATTGTAGGAAATTGCATCCTCTTCAAAAGGAGCTTTGGATGGGTCACTTATAATAAAGTATGAGAAAGTTATGCTTGGTCAAAGTTGGTTTGACTTTTCCTACAAAACCCTAATTTAGCAACTTTTGAGTCTTGATGAATTTTGAGCAATCCTTGATGAATCATGATCAAACCTTGATCAAATGATGAAATATCCTTAAAAATTAGAATGTTGGCAAAAAAATATTGAAGTTTGACTGTTTGTAGGTCACAGTTGACTTTTGCCCTAGCACAATCGATTTTTGGACCCTTTGAGCAATTGACTGAGCAAACTTCCTCTGCAAGGCTTGAAATTTGACATGGATGACCTTGAGAACATATTAAGACATTGGGGAGCACTTGAGGTCATTTGGATTCAAGGATCTTGATGCAACACAAAACCCTAATTTAGGGTTGACTGCCTTAGGAGATAGCTTGACTGTCCAACTCTTGAGCAATCTTGAGCCACTTGGAGATTTTTCTTGCAATGTCTTAAGAAATATGAGAGGGAAAATTTTGGGGTACAACACACTCCGATGCTAAAATGAGAGACAGAACGAGCAGGCAAAAAGTGTATAGGCATGTGATAGATAAATACCTGACCCTCTTGGAACAGAGGGTATTTATAGCCCCCAGCATTGGGCCAAGGTCACCTCATTGGGCTGACCAGAACTGGCCCAATAAAGGAACTTCCAGGTTCTACGTGTGTAGTGGGGACCCGCACATGGTCCCCTTCCTAGGTGGTGCTCTGCGAAGAATGAGGAAGGACGAAGACGCGGTCTTTCCGGAGCTTTGAGGATTCCATAACCGTCATAGTGGACAGAATCTGCCCTACGGGGAGGGTGCTCGAGCTGGACTCGAGCTGGAGCTCCCTTGGTCGGGGACGTTGCTCGTCGAGGGCAACAACGGGCGTTGCAGATGTAGTATGTGGTCGGGCATGTTTGGTGATGTACTGATTGTGGGCATTTCCCGAGGAGCTGCTTGGATCTGGGCCTTTATCTGCACTTTGGGCCAAGGTGGGCCTAGTCTAGAACAGAAACCAACATCATTTCTTTGAGGCGATGGTTGTTACCTAGTTAGAGCAATTGGGGTCATAGAATGGTTCCCATTCTTAATTCGGTTCACAACATTGCAGTTATGATTCTTTACTAGTTTGCCATATGACTTCAGAACTGCATTGAATTTCTTTTTGTTGTTAAACAATCAAGACTTTTTCTTGTTTCAATTAAAAATTATTGTTTCATAGCAAAGCAAAATTTTGAAATTTTTCTAACTATGGGGCAATTTGTCAATAATAAAAGCAATTTGAAATTGTTCATATAAATACATACCTTTAGTGATGACCTTATGAGAAATCTTTTGAAGTTCGTGACTTTGGGTATCCATAGACATTTTCTCCATCATATGATACTTAACGTAGCTGTTAAAATCATTCTTCTGTTCTCCAGCTTCTTCAATGTCATACTTGTCTTTCAGAGCCTCATATACATGTTTTGGAGTATCGCAGTTATAATAATGGTCATACAGATCATTTGCGAGTCCATTCAAAATATGATTTTATAGATATTTTCATTATCTTTCTATAAGATGATTTCTTTCCTATGTTGTAAATTGTTCGCTTTAATATGTGCAACAAATTCAACTTCAACACTATTAAGTGTTCTTTTTGAATATCCAGATTTATTATCGTTAGTTTGTTCGATTGATCCAGAAGGAGCAACAGAATGCCATCAATCAGAACATTAGCAACTTTTTTTAACGTTAAAAAATTTATCTTTTGTTACCAACGTTTGAAGTGACTTCCCTCAAACATGAACAGTTTGTCAAAGACAATATCCACAAAAGTATTAATAATTTCTTCGATAGTCATGGCAGTTTGAAACGTCTTAAAATTGTTGTTTTTAGATTTTGAAATATTTGTCACTGAAGAAATTACCAGGTTGAGTCACACGGACTATGTCGTTATGTTTAAGATGTTTCGCAACACAATTCAAAATTATGGAAAGCAGTCAAACTATCGCGTCGCCTCCATGATAAAACAATCAAGTTCTATATTATACGACTACTACTTGTATGGTAGATAATCGATTAAAAAATATACCCTCTGATAATACATGACCATTCAAATATGGTATCAATACTACTTGTAACACGTGGTACAAAAATCAGTCGTAATAATTTCTCAAACAAAGAAAAATTCAAATCATTCTCCAAAGTGAATTTAATAATGGTTGTTTGACCACTCATAATAATTTCTCTAACAAAGAGAAATTCAAATAATTTTCCAAAGAGAATCCAAAAATTAATACTTGAAAATTTTTCAATTCAAATGAGAAGAAATTAACATAATTCTCTAAAGAGAAATCAAGAAAATACTCGGAAAATCCAACAAGTAGAAAGAAAAGGAAAGAAGTTGGCGCTTTGACAATTCGAAAGACACATGATTATGAGAATGAGAAAGGAAAAACTAACAAAATATTTTTTTTTTAGTTTTAGAATGAATCGTGTACATTTTGTATATAGTAAAGTCAGCTAATTAATATTTCTCATATAAGTACAGTTGAACTAAATTATTTTTTTCAACCATAAAATTTTTTTAATGACGTCGAATTTAAGAAAATTTTAAATTCAATATATTATAACATAAATATATTCCAACAACCCATCTTAACACACAGCCGAAACAACGTCAGTATTAGCAGAACAAACTTTCGCATAAATTTTCCAAACCTTCTCTCTATTCTCAAATAATTTGCACCTTCTTTCTCTTCTCCCATCTTCCTCTCACCACTTATCACAAGAACGTTATCATCTTCCACCTGAACCTTTATGTCACCGGATTTCAACCCTGACATGTCGATCACAAACACGTATGAATTTGGGTATTCCTTCACGTCTGCTGGAGTTGCAGCCATCGCCTTCGCATCTCTAACGTACGACCGTGTCGGAGCATTGTGTGATAATGACTTGTCAGAAGAATTGCCGTCTGAAAGGCCCATCATTTGGTGCAGAGCATGCAGTACCGAAGCATCCAATCCTACCAATCTGAAATCCATCTTCGCACACTTCCTCTAAAATTTTTATCGACTTTGATGAAATGATTTTGAATGTTTTGTGTGATGATAAAGGTGGTGAATTAAAGTATTTATAGAAGGAGTTTCAAGTTAGAAAGGAGAACATTCGTTTAATTTACCATTCTTTCTATTTCTAGTAGCTTCCGAAACCTTTTGTCTGTTTTTTTTAATTGTTTTTTATTTTTTTATTTATCTCAATTTCTATGGTATTTATCAATAATTTTTAATCATTCCATTTTATTTGTAATATTTATTATTTCAATACATATTTTCATTCATTTATTTTTCTTTATTTATTTATCAATATATATTTTTAAAAAGAGCAATTTTGAAAATGAATCATGTTTATTATGTATGATTGATAAATATTTGTCATATTTTTTACTATTTTATTAAAAAAATATATACTAATTCTCAAAAATACAAAAACAGTACAATGTTGTTTATTTTATATATTAGAAATAAATATTGAATGAACAATCAATTTTTTAATAATAAATATATATTTATTATGAAAATATATATTTTTGATTGATTTCTATTTATCCTGTTAAAATAAATATGTATTTTTATAATTGAGTGTGAATGAAATAAAATTAAAATATAATAATATTTCTAATATAAAATATTCTTATTAAAAAAATTATTTATTTTTTATTATTCTCAACATTCGAGTAGAATTGAATTTTTCTATAATATTATTATTTAGATTAATAATATATTTGCGCATAGAAAGTTTCAAAAGAAATCCAAAATTAAGATCCACTAAGTTCATGATAAGAAAAAAAAAAAACTATCTAAAATTTGAAAATACGAATTTGTAAAAAAAAATTTAAAGCTCAAAAATACAAATTTATAAATAAATCCTTTAAACAAGGGTTGAAGAAATAAAGAAAAAAGAATCGTTTTGCCTTAAATATCGTGATTTATTAAAATTAAATAGTAAGTTTAAATTAAAATAGCAAAAGATTGTCATTACATAAGAACCTCAAAGGATTAAAAAGTCATAAATAACAAAGAACTCAAAAAAATAAGAGACTTGCAGGCCTCAGGAGTGGGTGCAACAACTTTATCGCTTTGAAGGTCTTGAATCATCTCGACATTAGTCTTCTCGGAAGGTTGATCTTTGACGACAATTCTATCTTTAGTAGAAGGATCGGAGTCGAGAGTTGGCTCAGGGTCAATTTTGTCTACCAGACATCCATTTACCACCACCTTGAAATAATTCAGTTCAGATAAGTCGAGATTAGGGAAGAGGCAGACAACATGTTCTTAGGATTATTCAAAATCTTGGTCCTCAGATAGAAAGCCATTCATGCGCTCATCCTCAAGGTCTTTCTTGAGCTTCTCAATAGTTGTCCTGCGTAAAACTGTCTCTTGTTTGACCTAAAAAAGCTTCTCCAGTGTGACTTACAGCTAGAATTTAGAGACTTTTGCTTCTCTTTGAGTGAGTTGCACTCTAATTGGGTGGATTCTAAATCATTCTCAAGCTCGAGAATCTTTTCATTGGTCGAGGAAAGCAAAGTTTGATTAATAACTTGTGCTTCTTTCATTTTGGAAAACTCAAGCCTCGGCTCATCAACTTGTTTGCGAAATGAATCAGCAACCTTAAACATAGTTTTTCGTATAGTAATGCCCCTTATGAGATATGTGTCCAGTTGTTGGAATAATTTTTTAACACTCATGCTTTTGGCCTTCTCGACATCTTCGATAACATGAAGATGGTCACACAAGAAGCCTAGACCATCAAAATTTCTATCCCAAAGATAAACCAACAACATTTCACCCCCCCCCCCCTCCACCATCAAGCCACGTCTTTCTGATTAATCAAATTTGACAGGAAACACGGTTCCAAAATAATATTGGCTTTGTTGCCGGTATTAGACATCCAACCCATCTCAGAAGCTTTCCACCCAAGGATCGTCGAGGAAAAGTGAGCCATAACTCAAAACCCCGTCATTAAAAGAATCGACATGGAGCTTCATGATGATCTCAGCTAAACCTAAGAAATAAGACATCGAGTCAGTGTCAGTATCATTAAAAGTGATATCAAAGGCGTCGTCGTACACTTCTCTCTCCACAAACCCCCAACCCATATTTCCCATAACACGTCTAGACTTTACCATGCACTGTTGCCACAACGCATGCCTTTCATAGACATTTTAGGGAGGATTACCCCCCCCCCCCCCCCCCCCCCCTCCTCCACTCATCACATTCACGAACCATAAGCATTAAAAGTGTTAAGCAAAGAATAAAAGGGAAGGGAAAACAAACATATAACCTAAATTAGGACAAAAGGAGGGAAACCTGAAGGAGAAAGGATTTCAGTGCATGAAGTGGATAAGAAGGGGATTCGTAAGTGTGGAGAGAGAGAGAGAGCGAGAGAATTGTGTTTATGAAAAAAAGTTATTAAGGATGTGGAGTGGAGAACTGTTATTTTAGTTAAACATTGAGTACACGAAAGGCCCCTTAGAAAAAGGCTAAAAGCCCTAATAATTGAACGCAATGATGACAACAGAGGTGTTGCAAGTCCCAATAAAAAGCAATCATGACACATTAACTCCAGATCTAAAACACAGAAGGCCGAGAGTCTGTGGACCGACATAAGATCGAATAAGGCGGGTTTATGTTATAGAATGCTCTCGTATAACCTCTGACGCGAATGAGTTTTCTCTTAAGCATCTCGCTCCTTTGGGCCTTATGTTTTGGGGTTGTATGCATCCCGAAAAATCGCAAAAGTCAAATTATTCAAATGAGTTTCTCTTAAACATCTCGCCCACATAAGCCTCATGCTTGGGAGACTGTACATTCTAGAAAATTGCAACGGTCAAAATTAGAATTTGGTTGAGTGACAATGTTGGATTACTCGAATGAGTTTCTCTTAAGAATGTCACCCTTTTAGACCTCATGTTTAAGTGACCGTATACATCCCAAAGAATGTCGCTCTTTTAAACCTCACGTTTAAGAATATTTAAGTAACCGTATACATCCCAAAAAAATTGAGATGGTTCGGATCATAACCGTCGAACATAACCCACTTTTGGCATATGACCCGATCGCTCGAAGGTGGAACAAGCATTTATGAGCAAATAATGATTATAGAATAAATAACTATAAATACTTATAGTGATGAGCAAGATAAATGACCATATAAAATAAGTAAGCATCAAACCAAATAAGACAGGCTAAACTTTCCAATAAAAAAGCATCCACTAAGACTCTTACTAACTAGAATCGATAGAGTTATCCAATAAGTTCTAGCATTCAAAAGAGAGAAAGAGGGGGTCCAAAGTAGCATTTTATATTTAAATAACACAACTAAAATATTAATTAATATTTTTTTCATTATTGTTATTATGCTTATTTCTAAGAGTGTTCATGGGTCGAATTTGGTCAATTTTGATCCAATCAGTAATCTGACACAATTACATTTTGTTATTTGAGTTTCGTCAAAATTTTGTATTTCTGACATCAAATACAAACCAATCCAACTTAGATGATGAGCGGGTTGGTTGAGATTGCATAATTCGTTTTAAAAATAATAACATTAAATAACATGACTTTTTTATGAAATTTATAAATTTTAACTAAATTTAATTTAAAATATTTAATATAACATGTTTTAACTATATTAAAAGTAATAAAAATATCATTTTCTATTTAGTGAGGTGGGTTTGTGAATTAGAAACTACAAAGTCATTTTCAGAATCAAACCAGTTCGGATACCACTGAACGCCCTTACTTCTCTCCAATACTCTATTATTCATTATTATGTATTTTAACTTTTTTCCAAATTAATTTAGAATATTGTAAAAATTTATTAATGAAATTAAGACAATGGCATATACTTAAGATGCTAAGTTCAAATATTCAGAATGATTATTATATGACTGTTGTTGAAGCTATTCATTCCTGTTTTCAGAGCCATTTGATAATGGTGGTATAAAAATTGAGATGCAGGTGAAAGGATGTAGAATTTCGGGTGTTTTGGGAGGCTTCGAGAAAATCTCGATTCAATGTACAAAATTGTGACACAATTTCATGGTGAGATCGCAGAACAAAGTGCCAAATCGCACCTCGATTGACTGTGTAACGGCAAGGACCACCATCTCTGGTCACCTGCCAAAAACTTGGAAAGGACTCATTCCACTTCTATGCTGAGTAAAACAAGATCTTGTTGCATGCCCAACTCAAAGACACTGAGAGATAACATGAAATTTACTAAAATATAACACCAAGTACAGAACATTAGAATCTAAGAAAACACATGACAGAATATTATTTCAAAGTCTGTTTCTGCAATAAATATCCTGATTCTGAATAATTCGATAGTAGCATATTTACCGAATATAACATACCTTAAAATTAAAGGGGAGTCTTATAAGCCTGATTAACTGAACAAACTAGTAGTCATAAAACCGAGAAGATTAGAGTCACCAATCTACACAAACTCCTATATCAATCCACTAGGGCGAGCTCTCTTGCTGCTGCAAGATGGACATTTGTACTGTTTGATATGATCAGCTCTCGCTGGAGTAATCTTCACACATTTTCCATGAAACCATACCTCACAAATGTCACAGCAAATCCAGAACTGGTTAGTTTCATAGCTCTCTCCGCATGCCCCACACAAAGTATCTCCGTGCTCTTCGTCATCTTCCATGTCTTCCTCGTATTCCTCATCTTCCTCGTCCACGCCTAGACCGTCCTCGTCATTTTCCTTTGATTGCATTTGCATTTGCATTTGCATTTGCATTGCCATTGGTTTTGAAAATTTTGCCTGAGGTTCAGAACCTTGCTGCATATGTAAACCCAAAAGAGTTAACCACCTTAAATTATTAAATGTCACATCAATCATATATACCAGATACCGTTTCAAAATACAAAAAGGAAAATTATATCCAAAAAGATAGAATTTCTCACACCAAAAAGATATGAGTATATACTAATCGCAGACCAGATAGCGCCTCAAATTATAGGAGATCTTTGCACTCCAAAATGAGGGTTTTTGGTCCCTTGCAGACAGGGTTTATGCATATGCCACAATCATGCAAACTAGACTATCAGATTACCAAGTGGTTGGTCTCAATAATGTGTTTTAAACTTTTAACTAAGGCCAAATTGAACGAGAGGACCCGAACGGAGTTTGCTAAACATAATACACTATTAAAGCCTATGAAACTAGAAAAATTGTAACTGCCAGTGGACAGTGATTAGTTTGATTTTCAGCTTGCTTACCTTGGGCTTTGCTTCAGATTTGGTACTGCTATTATTAGAAACCGATGATGACTTATCCTTTCCTGGTTTCTTGACAACCCCCGCAATAGTTTCAAAGATTGTTGGAAGATCATTTATCATATCAAATAGTTTTTTCCTGCAACAAGACAATAAAAGAAAGATAAACCCAAATTAATTATCATCTAGAGAAGAAGGAAAATCATCACCGTGAAAGGGTAAAGGAAAACACATACCTATCAGCTTTATCGAATCCAAACCTAGCACCGAAATAAAAAGCCACTGATAATAACCAAGCATCACTGTGTACAGCAACCAAAGACAGCCAATCCTTTTCTAGCATCCCATCTCTCGCAAAGTTAATACCCAATGCTGGCTCCGGAATCTCAGGCGGCACTTCTTCAGCTGGCAGGGTCACCTCCCACTGTTCACTGGGAGATCCATAAAGACAAAGGTTTTCCTTATCTGCATCAAAAACATCATATAAATTACTCATATCAACCAAAATCACAAAATACAGTCAGCAATTTCAACTATGGAACTACACCAGTATGGAGGACACTAAATAAAACAATGTGGAAAAAAAATCAGATTAGATGCTGCATTAGATACAGAGAAAAATAAAAACTTTAAAGAAAACTATTGTATTCATCACAGTATTGTCAAACACAGCGCGGAAAATAGAAGTTTCTTCAAAATCTATGAAGCACAAACACCTCAGGGGAGTAGGAGTGTCCTCGTGTTTGATACTTGTATGACACTCTTATGACACGTGCGATACAGTCAAATAAGAGTCAAAAAATCAAATAACAGTAAAAAAAAGTCAAACAACTGTCGAAAAAGTCAAACAATTGTCCCAAAAAATTGTTTTTCTCTCTACTTTGAGACTCTTTGAATAAGTGTCTTAACACTCCTACCGCATATCACATATGTCACACAATTCATATAAGTTTTACAAACAAAAATTTGTTTTTGATATTATCGGTTTCAGAATGTCTATGTCGTGTGCCGTGTCCAAGTCCCCCGAGCTAAATATGTTCAAATTCCACATGCAACAGTGCAATAGACAAGGTAAAGCCACAATTTGACTACATTTTGCTGCGAAAAAATAAAAACGGAAATAACAAAAGAGCGTAACAGAAAAAAAAAACCGTGAAACGTGAAAGAAACAAAATAGAATAAACAAATTAAAAACATGAATTAAAAAAAAAAACATACGCATGTAACGGTTTAATATAATGAAAATTAAAACGAACACAAAACTAAAAACATTATAAGTACGTAAATGTTACCGGGATCACACTGCCGGAAGAACTCGTCGACATCTGGTGAAGAACACGAAAGAAAAAAAATTAAATCAGGTTTTGATTTTTCACACAAAAAAAGAGAAAAAATATTTCAAAAGATTGAATAAAAAATCAAAAAGTGGGAAGATGAAGACGGACCAGTAGATAGGGCTTTGATTAATGCAGTTCTGCGGCCTCTGAAATCCCGAAAGACTTCGTCGACAGTACGAGGATTGTAAGGAATATTTAGTCCGTCCATGGTTGTGTTGTTTTGGAAGTGAAATTGGAGAGAGGTTGAGTTTGTGGAGGGAAAAGTACTGAACCCTTGTTTATGTTTCTCGTGTGTGGGAAGAAGAGGGTTTGAAAGGGATAGTGATCCACTGCATACGCAGTCACACACTCAAATAAATCATAGCCATTTGATCAAATCAACTGTTTCTATTCAATTTTCTAGTTTTTTTCCCTTAAAATTCACATATAGGACATTAAACATCAAGTCACACTTTCACTAACTATATATAGAGTATATAGCGAGGGTTTACAGTTGGGTTTGGATCCATTTTAAAACAAAAATTAATTTGATTTAAATAAAAATTTATTTATAATTTAATTCGATTTTGGATGATATATTAAAAAATTTTAATTTTGTACGATTTAATTTGAATTGATTTTTAGATAATTATATTTTTATTAATGTTATAAAATTATTAATAAATTAAAGATTTGATTATATATATATATATATATATATATATATATATATATATATATATATATATATATATATATATATATATATATATATATATATATATATATATATATATATATATATATATATATATATATATATATATATATATATATATATATATATATATATATATATATATATATATATATATATATATATATATATATATATATATTAATATTATAAAATAAGAGTCATCGATTATAGTTGAAATAATAAAAATAAATAGATTATATCAAATTAATAAATATTATTAAAAAAATTATTATCATCTAATAATAAATTCACATAACCTATCATACTAATAAAAAATAAATAAGTATAAAAATATATGTATGTGATTCGGTTTAATTTTGACCGATTTTAAAAAATTAATCTAAAATCGATTTTCACAAAATAACATCCAAACGCATTTAATAAATTTCAATATTTTTACAGTTTTCAATTCTTTAAGATCGATTTTCAATTTTTTATTTAAATTTGAACACCCTAACTATGCATTTTAGCGCTAATGTATAAGAATCATTTTCCTATTTCCATCGTCTCCTTTCTTGCAAACCTTGAAGCTTCACTAAGATATTTTTATAATATGGTTATTTTAATTAGTTTTTCACATAAAATATATGATTAACCATTGATGTTTTTTCTTGATAAATGTCATTGCTTGTTTTGTTTTGATATTAATCAGATTTTCATCGATTTCTCATTTTTTTTAACAAAAATAATATTTTGTTTTAAGTAAATTTTTAGGTATCAATGAGTTTTGATTGGGTATCGGTACTTTTAAACAAAATTTATTTAAACTTTTGGGTATCAATAAATTTTTATGATACTATATTATCATCCTAATATTATGTTTGAATTTTATAGATTTTGTTTAATCATGACAATCAATGTAATAGCTAGTGTTGGCATGGAATTTGATAGTACAGATGAAGTTTGGAAATTTTGGTTTGATTATGGAAAAGCAATTGGTTTTGGAGTAAGAAAACAATACCTCAACAAAAGAAAAGAAGATGGATATGTTAGATCATGTCGATTTGTTTGTTGCAAGGAGGGTAATCGAACGACATATAAAAGATATTTTTAGTTTAAAATCCTAGGGCGGAAACAAGAGTTAGATGCCAAGCAAGAATTGCACTTAGTGTAAAGAATGAGAAATTTGTAATCCAAGAGTTCATAGAGGACCATAACTATTATATCTCAATTTTTACCTCTAAGATCTCTCATAATTTCAATGTCAACCCAATCATATCAAGATCACACACTAAGGTTTGTTTCTTCTTCCTATCTTTAAGTTTGTTCATAAGGGATCACCAAGCACCTTGATTTGTATGGTTTTGTACATGTGTGTTTTTATGATTGATTGACTTTTAACTAACAAATGCAATGTATGTATACCTGCTATATGGATGTTGGCATTATAGGAGATAGCACAACACATTTCATCAGGTTGATTCATAGGTTCATGAGTTTATTTTCATGCCTTCTTCAACAAAGCTTTATTGAGATTTAAGCTTCATTTTTAGTGTGCTTTAAGACAATGTCATGACAAGGCGTACTATTATTCATCATGCTTCAATTTTCCAAAGGAAGTCAAAAGATGCAAGATTGATTCAAGAAATTTGACCTAATTGGACAAGTTATTGATTCCTTGACCACAAGTGCATAACTCCCTCAATTCTCAACATTTGGAAGTGATTTTTCTTGCCATGGATTCATATTATCATTTATAATAACTTTTCTTCACATGGAAAAAGCAATTGTGCAAGAAAGATTGTCAAAAGTTGAAAGGGTTTCCAAGTCATTTTGATGCTTTAGGAGCTAGGGTTTTGAACTTCTGAGGGCTATATCTTATTCATCTTTTGAGATTTTTGAGTGGTTCCAAAGACATGTTTCTCTTTAAAGAGTTATTAACAAATCACTTCAAGAGTTTCAAGCAAATTTTTTATGGAAGATCACTAATAATTGAGAAATACTACAAGTCCTCTAGATAGGCCATCAAATTCTTTTATGTGACTTCAAAGGATCATAACTTGGTCAATTTTTATCATCTTGAGCTTACTCTTTTTTCACATTGATCTTAAGAATTTTAATTTTAAATCTCTTTTTGGTACAAAGATTGAAAATGGTGGGAAGATGCTTTTTGAGTTCAAAAGATTATAGGTCACTTCATGGATTTTCATCAATTTTACAAGGCCATAACTTTTTCAATACTTAGAGTTTTTGAGTGAGACAAGTTTCAAAATGCTTCTACTTCATGATAGTATCATTGACCAAAGCAAAACTTTGGAGGAAGACCTTGTTTAGAATCAAAACATTATAGGTCATTTTTGAAGAAGAAACTTAGAATTTTTCTAAGTATAAAAGTCATCATATTTTTTCTTGATTTTGACTGAACATAACTTCTAGCTCAAGCGTCAAAATGAGGTTTTTCTGGGCACATTGTGAAGAGTGTTACATGATATTTCCAATGCATCAAGAATCATCTTGCAAAGCTTCCTAAATTGTACACACCGTGAGTTCAAAGTCAGTTACTTGAAATTGAGTTTTTCTCCAAAGTCAAAATTTGAAATCCATAATTTGCCTTCTAATCACCAATTTTGCACGTGTTTTTGATCTAAACATGATTAACAAACTTGCTCAGACTTGTTTAAGCATCAAAACACAATAATTGAATGAGTTTTAATTGAGTTAGAGTCATTCTTTTTTCATTTTCGGGCTCTACTCATTTTCCCTCCAAACCTCACTTTTTCTCTCAATTCTTTGCACCATTCACTTTCTTATAAATAGAGGACCTCACTCCTCTCATTTTCTCAAGCTTTAACAGCCAAAATTACCCTGTTCATATCCCACACAAACTCTGAATTTGAATTTCTGATTTCTTTCATTCTCACCTCAAAACACTAAAAGCCTCATTCAGTTAGCTCCATTGAACTCCTCTGAAGCTAACCACACTCTTACCTTCAAGAATCGTGACCTGAATCAAGCTACAGAAGTTTAGTTTCAGAGCTATTTTAGTTAACTTAATTCATGTAGTATTTTCAACCAAATCGAGTCAAATAAATCCCTATTCTACTCTACTCGTTCTTATGATTCTCATACTTCCTACGATTTTCATTTTCATTGAGAATTGAGAGAGATACTTGGAAACTCAGTGCTCGCTATTTTTTCTGCTTTTTTTTCAAATCTAGCCTTGCTCAATTTATATAAATTTAGATTGAGGGTACCATTAAAATAGTCTTGAAGAGACAAATCTAATGGTATCGGTCTGGTTTGCTAATTTTACAGTTTGAGGAACTTCAATCTAGGGCGTCTGGAGGTTGAAGACGACCTACGTGTCGTGCTTCAACCAATGATAGTGTGACATGTAATTTTTTTTAATTCAATCTGGTGTTTCGTTTTATCATGTCGTGCCTCAGGAGCCCTTGGATCTGATTACCTAAGTCAGTCAGACTTCATCCAACGCGCCATATTTAAAGTTACTTATATTTATAAAAAAAGGATTCAGTGTGTTTTCCAAAACAGCCCATAATATGCACAGCGTGCCAGATCCTCTGGATCTGTTTACCAACGCGTTTTGACTCTCATCCAATAGTCCATATTTTTTTACTTTATTTTTATTTCTCTGATTTTTTACATTTTATTGTTTTAAACTTAAAAAAATCATAGAAAATTCATTTCTGAATCAAAAATTATGAAAAAATTTATAAAAATATTTTTAATATCATTTTTATGATTTTTATTTTTTCATAATTTATTTTCAGATTTGATATTTTTTATGTTTTTTCTTTTGTTTGACTCGTTTTAATTGTTTAAATTTTTTTTTTTTTGTATTTTTAAATTCTACAAAAATTCATAAAAAACATTTTCTTTATTTCTGACTTCCTGGACTTCTCTAGAATTTTATTCTGATTTTTATTATTTTTAATCATTTTTCACTTACTTGAGTGATTTTAAATAATTTTAAAAATGCTTTTCAGTTTTAAAAAAATTACCAATTTTTTTGTAAAAATACTTGATATCGTCTTTGACTTTTCTATGGGAGGACAGGAGGAGGACAGGAAAGAAGTAAAAGTGGGTGCCAACTTGGAACCAAGTGTCAAGGAACGCTTAATACAGTTGTTGAATGAATACGTTGAGATCTTCGCTTGGTCTTATGAAGACATGCCAGGTTTAGACACAGATATTGTGGTTCACCGTCTCCCTACAAGAGAAGACTGTTCACCGATCAAGCAAAAGGTTCGCCGAATGAGACCTGACATGTCTGAGAAGATTAAAGCTGAAGTAATGAAGCAATTCAACGCTGGCTTTCTGGCCGTTACAACCTATCCATAATGGGCTGCTAACATTGTGCCCGTACCCAAAAAAGACGGCAAGGTCAGAATGTTTGTGGACTATCGAGATTTGAATAGGGCTAGCCTTAAAGATGATTTCCCTCTACCTCATATTAATGTCTTGATTGATAACACCGCTCAACACAAGGTTTTTTTTCCTTCATGGAT